GAAAAAATACTAATTATTGTTGAACAGAAATATTGAAATCTAGACACGAAGATTGCTGTCGGTATTCTTTCCTCTAACATAAGACAATAACTAAAACGTCTTTATTCTTCTCCTTCTTCTTTGTCAACCATTTTCCATCCACTTCTGAATGTAGGTCTCTCCCAATTGCTTCCATCTTTCTTTATCTTGCGCCAATCTAATCCACTGTTTGCCTGCCACTGCTCTTATGTCATCTACCTATATTTTTTGAGGTCTCCCATACTTCTAGTTCTCGTCCTTGGTCTTCATTCTAGAATTCTCCGTGTCCACCTGTTGTCATTATATCGGGCTACGTGACCTGCCCAGCGCCATTTCATTTTTGTAATTTCTTCCACAATAACTCTAATCTTCGTTCTACGTCTTATCTCGGTCATTGCTCTTTGCGTTCTTTCTAATTTTTTAGCAGACTTTTTGGTAAGGGCTGCTGTCTCCAAGCCGTAGGTAAAAACTGGTAGTATGCATGTGTTATACACCTTTTTCTTTAAGTTGATAGAAATGGAGGTGTTTTTCAAGATATGTGCTAGTTTGCCTAAGGCGCCCCATGCCAGTTGTGTTCTTCTTTTAATTTCGGCATCTTGATTTGGTTTTCTTAGTTTGATAACATGCCCTAGATATACATAATGGATGAGTATACGTATTTATTGGATGAGTATAATGATCTATGATTAATTAATGTTTGTCGAAGTAAGTTCAAGTTATAGTTCGATGTTAAAGAAATATTGTACACTACGAGTTAACCCTTTCAATGCTGATGACGCCTAAAAACGTCATACCGTTACTACAGTCAACAGCGCATGACTGCTACAGGCATCATGTGCACAACATTCGTTTTAAAGGTTAGTTTTTGTTTGACTTTAACTGAAACACGTTGTCTTTCTATTGAGTACGTAGTTATAATATATAAAAGTGTTTTTATAACGTCAGTTAGGTTCATATTATGGATGAAACAATTTCAGGACCGTCTCGGTCAAAACTTTTTACCAACGGTAAGAAACGTAAAGTATTAAAACTATTTACGCTGGAAGGGATAAAACACATGTTATATTACTCTGACGACGACTTCAACAATGTAACTTTCTCAGTAAGTGATGAGGAAAGAAAAAAAATGGCTGGTACGACTATAGATTATGTTAGTTTATTGGCAGATGACGCCACGAAAGTTTTTCTGTCTTACGAAACTACAGAGCATTCAAAAATTACCCGGAAGAAGGATGTAACACGTGAGGAAATTAAAATCTTTTTTACACTGATCATCCACATGGATAGTATTCACCTGAACCACATTCGAGACTACTGGAAAACCGATCCACTATTTAATATTTCAATATTTTTTGCAAATATGAGTCGGGATAGATTCTTTTTAATTTTTTTATGTCTGCACTTTTTCAAAAATCCTAGACCTAATAACCCGCAATCAGGGAATACACTAACCAAGATACGTAAAGCTATAGATTACTTCAATACTACATTGCAACACATTTTATTACCCTGGTAAACATTTATCATTAAATTTTTGGCCAGTACATAAAAAATAAGCGCCATAAGTACGGGATCAAACTTTACTCGCTAACGGAACCAAATGGTATTATCCAAATATTTTCTATTTACACTGGTTCACTCGACGATGAAGGTGGGAAAGGACATACTATAAAAGTAGTTATGAAGTTGATAAAGGAGAAACTGGATGCAGGGCATTATTTATATATGGACAATTATTACAATTCGTACGATTTAGGCTTACAGCTATTAGAGAGACGCGTATTGTTATAGTAGCAAACTAAATGTACCACTAGATGTAAAAAATGCCAAATTAAACCGTGATGAAACAATTGCACGTTATGCAGAAAACAACATGGTTACAAAGTGGAAAGACAAACGTGATGACTTTTATATATCCACCGAATTTCTATCGGTTGTACGTAAAAGAGATACCTCTAGGAATACGATCCATAATATTAAAAGTGCAAGTGAAACTGGAACAAACCATGAAGTGGAGATATCCAGGAGTGGCTAGTATACCTGTTGAATACAAAGCACGTGGTGGTCGTGTGTATTGAGGTATAAAAAAAGTGCTTATTAAAAGCTTAAATTTTTTATTTTAAAGATCTTTTCGAAATTGAATCATTCCATCATCAGTTTAAACTAATGATGTAATGATTCAATTCCGAAAAGATCTTCTTTAAAATAAAAGTTTTAAGCTTTTAATAAGCACTTTTTTTATACCTTAATACACACGACCACCACGTGCTTTGGATCCATAATATCTACCAAAACAACATAATAAAAGTAAGAAGAACAAACCGACCTATTGAATCTTGCAATGAGATAAGACAGGAAGATTCCCTGAGTCCTCTCTTGTTCAACCTAAAAATCGATGAAATAATAAAATAAGTAAAAACTAAAAAAGGATGCCAAATGGGAGAAAAACAACTTACTTACAATACTACTCTCTCAAAGTAAAGACAATTTACAGCGTATGATGCACCAATTTAATATAACCGCCTGAAAATTTGACACGTCAATTTTATCAAAAAAGACAAAATGCATGGTTACGAGTATAACAACAAATTTACCAAGGTGTAAATTGGAGCTCAAACCTCAGGTAATAGAACAAGTGGTGGATTATGAATATGGATATGTAGGCATCACATTTTCTAGCTACGGAAAGCTCGACACTCAAGTGGAAGATCAAGGAAAGATTCAAAAAGAAATGAAAGGCAAGATTTACAAAACAGTCATCAGATCAATAATGACATACGTGGCAGAAACACGGCCTGGTACAGAGAGGACAAAAGGGATGTTAGAAACAGCAGAGATGATGGGACACAGCTAGAAGTACAGATATACGACGTAGATGCAAGTTGGAGAGCATCGAGTACTGGGTAAGAAATAGAACAGTAGAATGGAACGATCATATAAGCCGAATAGAAACAAATAGAGTAGTAAAGACAGCGAGAGACGGTTCTTCAATAGGAAGACGATCAGTATTAAGACCACGAAAACGATGGGACGACAACTTACTCGAGGCACATTGTGTGTGTGTATGTGTGTGTGTGTGTGTGTGTGTGTGTGTGTGTGTGTGTGTGTGTGTGTGTGTGTGTGTGTGTGGTGTGTGTGTGTGTGTGTGTGTGTGTGTGTGTGTGTGTGTGTGTGTGTGTGTGTGTGTGTGTGTGTGTGTGTGTGTGTGGTGTGTGTGTGTGTGTGTGTGTGTGTGTGTGTGTGTGTGTGTGTGTGTGTGTGTGTGTGTGTGTGTGTGTGTGTGTGTGTGTGTGTGTGTGTGTGGTGTGTGTGTGTGTGTGTGTGTGTGTGTGTGTGTGTGTGTGTGTGTGTGTGTGTGTGTGTGTGTGTGTGTGTGTGTGTGTGTGTGTGTGTGTGTGTGTGTGTGTGTGTGTGTGTGTGTGTGTGTGTGTGTGTGTGTGTGTGTGTGTGTGTGTGTGTGTGTGTGTGTGTGTGTGTGTGTGTGTGTGTGTGTGTGTGTGTGTGTGTGTGTGGTGTGTGTGTGTGTGTGTGTGTGTGTGTGTGTGTGTGTGTGTGTGTGTGTGTGTGTGTGTGTGTGTGTGTGTGTGTGTGTGTGTGTGTGTGTGTGTGTGTGTGTGTGTGTGTGTGTGTGTGTGTGTGTGTGTGTGTGTGTGTGTGTGTGTGTGTGTGTGTGTGTGTGTGTGTGTGTTGTGTGTGTGTGTGTGTGTGTGTGTGTGTGTGTGTGTGTGTGTGTGTGTGTGTGTGTGTGTGTGTGTGTGTGTGGTGTGTGTGTGTGTGTGTGTGTGTGTGTGTGTGTGTGTGTGTGTGTGTGTGTGTGTGTGTGGTGTGTGTGTGTGTGTGTGTGTGTGTGTGTGTGTGTGTGTGGTGTGTGTGTGTGTGTGTGTGTGTGTGTGTGTGTGTGTGTGGTGTGTGTGTGTGTGTGTGTGTGTGTGTGTGTGTGTGTGTGTGTGTGTGTGTGGTGTGTGTGTGTGTGTGTGTGTGTGTGTGTGTGTGTGTGTGTGTGTGTGTGTGTGTGTGTGTGTGTGTGTGTGTGTGTGTGTGTGTGGTGTGTGTGTGTGTGTGTGTGTGTGTGTGTGTGTGTGTGTGTGTGTGTGTGTGTGTGTGTGTGTGTGTGTGTGTGTGTGTGTGTGTGTGTGTGTGTGTGTGTGTGTGTGTGTGTGTGTGTGGTGTGTGTGTGTGTGTGTGTGTGTGTGTGTGTGTGTGTGTGTGTGGTGTGTGTGTGTGTGTGTGTGTGTGTGTGTGTGGTGTGTGTGTGTGTGTGTGTGTGTGTGTGTGTGTGTGTGTGTGTGTGTGTGTGTGTGTGTGTGTGTGTGTGTGTGTGTGTGTGTGTGTGTGTGTGTGTGTGTGTGTGTGTGTGTGTGTGTGTGTGTGTGTGTGTGTGTGTGTGTGTGTGTGTGTGTGTGTGTGTGTGTGTGTGTGTGTGTGTGTGTGTGTGTGTGTGTGTGTGTGTGTGTGTGTGTGTGTGTGTGTGTGTGTGTGTGTGTGTGTGTGTGTGTGTGTGTGTGTGTGTGTGTGTGTGTGTGTGTGTGTGTGTGTGTGTGTGTGTGTGTGTGTGTGTGTGTGTGTGTGTGTGTGTGTGTGTGTGTGTGTGTGTGTGGTGTGTGTGTGTGTGTGTGTGTGTGTGTGTGTGTGTGTGTGTGTGTGTGTGTGTGTGTGTGTGTGTGTGTGTGTGGTGTGTGTGTGTGTGTGTGTGTGTGTGTGTGTGTGTGTGTGTGTGTGGTGTGTGTGTGTGTGTGTGTGTGTGTGTGTGTGTGTGTGTGTGTGTGTGTGTGTGTGTGTGTGTGTGTGTGTGTGTGTGTGGTGTGTGTGTGTGTGTGTGTGTGTGTGTGTGTGTGTGTGTGTGTGTGTGTGTGTGTGTGTGTGTGTGTGTGTGTGTGTGTGTGTGTGTGTGTGTGTGTGTGTATGTATGTATATACTTATATAAATTATTTACCTATAATTTTATTTATATTTAAATAAAAAGTTTTTATTGTTTATTATAGTACGACTGCAACGTTATTTTGATGGACTGGCATATGGGTGCCCGAGGACCACATTATCCCGTAGCTGCAGCAAATACAGAATTAGTGGGGCGGCAACTTGGCATACTATTAACAAACATGGTAAAAAAAGGTTTGGATCCACGTAGCATTCATCTCATTGGATTCTCTCTAGGAGCCCATGTCTCAGGAACTGCTTCAGAAAGTTTAAAAGATAAAGGATACTTGCTAGGAAGAATTACTGGTAAGTGAGAAGAATTACTGTGCCATATTGCAAGAACTCAAAGATCAAACTATTTTTTGGTGCATTATTTCTTCTTTCTAGTCATCATCATCATTTGACCCGGATCTATCCACTGCTAGATATAGGTCTCCCTCAGTCTTTTCCATGTATTTCTGTTTTGTGCTGTTTGCATCCAATTTTTGTCAATCCGTTTTATGTCATCAGACCATCTTGTTGGTGGACGACCTCTACTTCGATGTACTTCTTGTCTCGTCTCCACTGTATTATTCGCTGTGTCCATCTGTTATCCGACATTCTAGCTATGTGCCCCGCCCAGTTCCACTTAAGGGTCATAATTCTTTTTATGGCATCTGTCACTCCTGTTCTCCGTCTTATTTCCTTATTCGTGATCCGATCCCTACGAGAAATGCCTAACATCGATCGTTCCATGGCTCTTTGGGTAACACAAATTTTATTTCTTACTTTTTTGGTTAGTGTTAATGTCTCTGCACCATATGTAAGTACTGGCAACACGCAATGATCAAAAGACTTTTCTTTTAAGACACATAGGCAGTTCTGATTTAAGAACATAGCTCAGCTTGCCGAATGTCACCCAAGTGAGTCCTATGCGGCGGATTAGTTCGCAAGTTTGATTATCTCTTTCTATGCGTATCCCATGTCCTAAGTACTTATAAGAGGTGGTTTCTTCAATATGCATGCCATTTACTAAAATCTTTTCGCTTAACACAAGATTTGTCATGATTTGTGTTTTTGGGTGGTTGATTTTTAATCCAACTTGTAGGGAGACTTTTTTTGAAAAAAGATTTTCTTGGTGTAAAAAATCTACAAGCATGGTCCCTCTTTCATTTCTTTCTCCAAAGCCGTAGTTTTCTAGTGCGATTTCACTTTGGTCTTCTTTATTTCCCAGCTTAGCATTAAAATCTCCTGTTATCAGAGTATAAAACGTCTTAGTACTTTTCAGGGCTGTTCTAATATCTTCAAAGAACATTTCAATCTCTTCATCTGCGTGGCTTGTGGTTGGTGAATATACTTGTATCAATTTTAATTTACATCTCGAATTCATCTTTAAGATTAGAGTGATAACTCTCGAGCTTACACTTTCTATTTTTAATATGTTTGGTACATGTCGTTTGTGTACGATAAATCCAACCCCACCACTTGATGAATTGTCTTCTCCCTTGAAATGGAATAAGTGGCCAGATTTAAGAGTATATTGTTCTTCTCCTCTTCTTCTGACTTCGCTGAGACCCATTACGTCCCACTTTATTGATTTTAGCTCTTCCTCCATTTCTAACAATTTAGACTCTGATGACATTGTACTCACATTATATGAAGCAATATACATAGGTTGTCATCTATGGTAGCCTAGTTTAACCCGGGGGTTCTTAGCACCCTCTACTCCGTCTTTCTTCCGACCGCTACCTTGGTCGGAGGTAGTGGAGTCGCCGGGCACTGAGGGCCGTTCGTTTCCTGAATTTTGTATACATGAAAAGAGGAGGGGGGTTTAGCCGTTTCACTACCACGCGGGCCAGTGCGTATTGGTAGTGGGTTAGGATGTGTAATGGATATGTATGAATTTGATGGAAATTTTTGGTTAGGACATGACTTCTCCTTGGTAGGGAACTGTGGAGAAAGTCAAGGCTTGCTTAAGGCACGGTTGCGTTCCTTTAGCAGATCTGTCTTCTACCGGGATCGTAGAAGAGTATATTAGCAGATCTGTCTTCTACCGGGATCGTAAGCTACATTAGGCTGACTGCAAAGGTTAAAACACCTTTGGGCGGTGGGGTCGCCACCGCCTCTCTCTTTTTTGTCTCTCTCTACATAAAAGAGGTTTCATTTGTTTATTATCACTCCCAATTTGATATATTGCATTTATTTTTGGGTTGAACCGCGTCGATTATATTATCATTGCACCGAGCTTTCGACGTCTTTTTTAGTGCTTCCGAGATCTTGTCTCCCGAGGCCTCAGACACAACTACACTGATCACTAATCATAACGTTACTGGTGCTGGGAATAGAGGACGGGTCATTTATACCGTCAATGATGACGTAACTTGGCGCTAATATTTCTGACAGTAGGATTTTAATTGACGGGTGGAGCAGACGGTATTTTCTGTATAAGAGGTCTCCAAGTCAAAGGTAACCGTATGCCGCCATCTCTTTTATTGAGACAATTTGGCCTTTTTTCAATTTCTATGGCATCTCGGATAATTCTTGGTTTATAGAAGCGGATGAAGGCTATAGTTCTGAAGTTTTCAAAATCAATTTTGTGACCTGTAGAAAGATGGTGATGACCTAGAACTGAAATTGAGTCGGAATTGCGAACAGAAATAAAATTTTCATAAATTGTATTTTGGATTATACGATTTGTTTGGCCTATAAAGTATCAGGGGCAGTCTGCACAAGGAATTTTATTAACTCCGTGTTGTTCATTTGGAGTGTTGTCTTTGACTGATCGGACAAAAGATGAAAGTTTTTATTGGGGGGTAAATATTGTCTTTATTCTTCTTGATTTTAGAATTTTGTCAATTTTGTTAGTGACATCTTTGATGTTAGGAAGAAAAGCTTTCGTATGATAAGGTTCTTTGGGTGGAGATTGAGTGGGAGATTGATGTCTGTGGATGCTCTTATTGATGTGATTTTTGTGGTAACCGTTTTGGATGAGGGCTTGTTTTAAACTAGAGAGCTCAGCGGGTCTCCTTTCATCATCGCAAAGGCGTATTAATTTGGAGACAAGCGTATTAATAACTGAATTATTTTGTGAAGGGGAATAATGAGAGTTGGTATGCAAGTATGCCAACTTGCAATAAGAACGAATTGCTTTCACTTACCTTTTTTTATTAGTGTTCACTTGTATATCGTAGAGTAAGGACGTATTCCGCCGAGTGCGATAGCAAAAAGTGACCACCGATAAGAACAATAATTAAAATCTAATTATTAAAATTCTAGTTATTAAAATAAACAGTAAAGTGGCAGTGGCGTACCAAATTCTGTTTTCTACAATGAACAATTCGCACACACAGAACACAAACAATCAGTGTCTATTGTAGTATCAGCAGAAATTGCAGGTAAGCAGCAGGTCCACTATTACCAAACATTTAGGAACATGTACCCAACTCCTCAACAATATTCTCCACTAGAATACAGATCCGAACATACACCAAACCACATATACTGGCAACCCGCAAATATTCCTATACCAAACATTCCACAAAATCAATTCGCTCTTCCACCACAACCACAACAATTTCCCCCACAACCCCAACCAATTTACTACAACCCAAGCAACCCATCTACTGTAGGGCAGACCTCAAACACAAAGCTAAAACTTGCAATTAGACATTCAGAAAACTCGGATATGGAGTCTAGCGAAGACGACGATCAAGAAACCCAAAATAAAAACTCATGGCAAGTAGTCAAAAAACGTAAATTTTCAAAACAAAATAATGATCCCAATTCTCCAAGCTCACCACCAACAAAAATACAAAATCGATACAGTGCCTTATCTAACGCTGAGGGATCTGAACAGACTGAAACAGAAAAACAACAGAAAATACCAAAACCACCTCCAATATTCATATATGGCGTCAAAAACTTTAAAGATATGGTCGATAGCTTTGCACAAATTGTGGAGGAAGAAACCTACTATACCAGAACTCTACCAAACCACACTTAACAAATAAAGGAAGAGCGTGCCTATAGAGTGGTAATAAGGCATATCCATCACTCTATACCCACAACAGATATAATAAAGGAACTAGAAAAAGCCGGCCATAAAGTTCGCAATGTAACTAACATTCGGCACAGACAAACAAAGGAACCCTTATCTTTGTTTTTCATAGATCTTGAACCCAACAGTAACAACAAAGACATATTCAACGTAGAATTCTTATGTCACACCAAAATAGCAGTTGAAGCACCAAATAAAAGAAACTCAATCATTCAATGCATGCGATGTCAAGCATATGGTCATAGTAAAACATATTGCACTAAACCGCATTACTGCGTCAAATGTGGAGGAAAACACAATACAAAAGATTGTAAAAAACCTAGAAGCACTCCAGCTAAGTGTGCTATGCAAACAAGATCACCCTGCTAACTATAAAGGCTGTGTAGTCTACGGGGAACTAGTAGAAAACAGACATATGCAGAAAAGAGGAAACCAACAGCCTCAAAGACCAACACTCAACAGTCCACATGTATGTACTGAAACAAATCAGCTAAATACTCTACAAAACCATCAAAAAACATATGCAAACGTGACAGCAAATCAAACAAATCACGATTCAGAACCTAAAACTAATATAGAACAACAACTATTAACATTCCTAAACGAGTTTAAAAACATGTTCTCGAAACTAATGAGTCAAAATAGTATGATATTAAACTTACTAACACAAGTCATTAACCAAAGAAATTCTTAAACATACTTAGAGTTGCCACATGGAACGCTAACGGCCTGCTAAACCATAAGCAAGAAGTAATTACTTTTTTATACTTAAATAAAATTGACGTTCTGCTTATTTCAGAAACTCACTTTACCGATCTAACTATGTTCTATATTCCGCTTTATACCACATACAGCACACCTCATCCTGATGATACAGCTCATGGTGGCTCGGCGGTAATCATCCGCAGCTGCATATCACATCATGTATTGCCGAATTATGCAACAGAAAAAATACAAGCAACAATCGTTCAAGTAAATGCAACACCATGGCACTTTAACATATCTGCAATGTATAGCCCACCGCGTCACACAATCTCCACAGATGAATACAAAGCCTTCTTCCAATTACTTGGCAGCAAATTCGTTGCCGGGGGAGACTGGAATGCGAAACACATACACTGGGGCTCAAGACTCACAACAACAAAAGGTCGTAATCTTCTAAAAGCAATGACCGACAACAACTATGATTGTCACACCAACGGAATCTCTACGTACTGGCCAAGTGATCCAAGAAAACCTCCAGATCTGCTGGACTACTACATAAGTAAAGGAGTGTCCAGAACCAACTGTCTAATAGAATCCAGCTATGATCTCTCATCGGATCATACACCGGTTATTATGAGCCTGAGTACCACAGTTATAAACAGCCCACCACCTCCTCGACTCACGTCAAAAAACACCAACTGGACAGATTTTCAATCCTACCTGGAAGAAAACACCCATCTTAATCAGCGGATCAAATCTACACATGACATAGATACAGCAGCTCAATACTTCACCACACTTGTGCAAAAAGCGGCATGGCAATCTACACCACGAACTGAACGAAACCAACACATACCACAAATGTTCTCCTGCACATTCGCCAACTCATTGCTGAAAAACGTCGAGTGAGGAGAACTTGGCACAGATCTAGAAATAACATAGACCTACATATATTCAATAGACTACGAAGGCAACTTGGAGTAGCCATCAAAGCCGCAAACAACGAAACCTTCGAACATTACATTACAAATCTTACAGCAAATGACCAGACGTTATGGAAGGCCACTAAGAAGCTAAAGAAACCATACACAACCATTCCTCCCATCCGTAAACCAAATGGTGAATGGGCCTGTTCCAACAAAGAAAAAGCGGACGTATTTGCTGAACATCTTACAAACGTATTTCAAACAGAGCCAGAAGACCCTGATGAAAAAGTGGAAGAACTAATTAGCGCAGCCTGTCAAATGTCACTCCCAATTAAAAATTTTACTCCTATAGAAGTCAGAAAAGAAATAAACAAACCAAATAAAACAACTTCCTCGCAAGACTATAACTTTGCTAACAGTTATATTTAACCGCATGCTAAGCTTATCATACTTTCCAAAAATATGGAAATTTGCTGAAGTCATTATGATCATCAAGCCAGGAAAAGAGCCCAATGAAGTAACATCTTATCGACCTATCAGCCTACTCCCAACCGTAAGCAAAGTTTTTGAAAGATTGCTACTTCAAAGGATATACGCAGATCATGTATTCCTTACATTACTTCCAAAACATCAGTTTGGCTTTCGGGAAAATCACTCCACTACCCAACAAGTTCATCGAATGATAAATGAAATATCAAAAAGTCTTGAAGAAAAGAAATACTGCAACGCTGTATTTCTAGACATCTCACAAGCGTTTGACAAAGTTTGGCACAGAGGTCTGCTTTACAAAGTAAAAATAGCACTATCCAGTAACTATTTCCTCCTACTTAAATCCTACATATCAAATAGATATTTCTCTGTAAAATTCAAAGACCAACAATCCAACCTCTATCCTATCAACTCCGGAGTCCCGCAGGGTAGTGTTCTAGGGCCGCTGCTTTTCTCACTCTACACAGCCGATATACCAGAGACCAATAATACTACAATCGCTTCCTTTGCTGACGACGTAGCAATACTAGCAGTAAATGAAGATCCCGTACAAGCCTCACAAAACCTGCAACATCATCTGAACATACTTAGTGATTGGTATACGAAATGGAGAACAAAAGTAAATAAAACAAAATCAACTCAAATAACATTTACCAACCGACACAATATATGCCCACCTGTAAAGATGGAAAATATAAGAATACCAACAGTTACAGACGCTAAATACCTTGGCCTTCATCTTGACCAACGACTCACTTGGAAGAAACATATCCAGACCAAAAGAAGGCAGCTCGACTTAAAATTCTGGCAAATGTATTGACTTCTTGGACGTAAATCAAAACTTAACATCCAAAACAAAATTCTTCTATACAAAGCCATACTTAAACCTATCTGGTTCTACGGACTACACCTATGGGGCTGTGCAAAGCCAACGTCGCTGAATATTATCCAAAGATTCCAATCTAAAGTACTAAGATCGATAGTGGATGCGCCATGGTACGTAAGTAACCAAACACTCCATTATGACTTAAAGGTTCCTTTCATCAGAGAAGAAATTCCTCGAGCCACGGAGTCACAAAGTGAACGTACCATTCACCACGAAAATGAGCTAGTAAGGGAACTATACAACAATGGACCAGCCACAAGAAGATTACATAGTACCTGGCCCCAAGACCTTCTTCAGAACTAAGTCAAAGTAGAATAAGGTGAGATATCATTGGATGTCTCCCCTTCACGCGCAAAACCTGTATCACATTTACTTAATACTCTTTTTGATGTAGATTGTAAATAAACATAATTATAAAAAAAATCAAAAAAAACCTTTTTTATTATATCTCTTTCTTTAATAAAACACAGTATCGTCACTTTATAATGTTTAATTTAATTATTGGTTTTAGGTCTGGATCCAGCAAGTCCACTTTTTAGGAATAACTATTTACGAGAAAACTACAAAAAATTAGATAGAAGCGATGCCAAATTTGTAGACGTAATTCATACGGATTCGAGTCCTGTAAGTATCAAAAATAAGTAAATATGTGTGCAATTATTCAAACCAATCTTATAAAAGAGGGTCGTTTATTTAGAATTGCTCATTTAATGAAATCTTTATTGTATTTATTATATTCTAACATAACTTAAAAATCCTTTCAAAAAATTTCTTTTCATTCTTGCTGTAACTGCAGAGATTTTTTAGAACTCCATAAAAACGATTAAAATATTAATTCAGGATATTCTTTATGAAATTTAGCTATTTTATATATATTTATATTTTATTTATATATTTAATTGTGTTTTTGTTAAATGAAGGTAGTTGTACGATGATAGTAAAGAGTCGTATGAAGTGTGACACTAAAATTTGGTTTGAGCTAGAAAAAGAAACCTGATAGTTGGTTTATTTCTTCACACTGCTATTATGTGCATGCTCTTAAAGAATTGGTCAATATCCAGAAGGGGACTAGAGAGATTCTGAGGAGGACTTAGCCTCTTCAGAATTACTTAGCCACTTCTATCCTGTAGGTTAATAATATAATGCTAGACCTTAATTAATAATGTTATGTAATTTATACTAAATGTATCTTCCCAAAACTTCGATGAGTCACCGATGGCTGACAAATTTAGATTTCTTAGAATAATAGAAGCCACAGTTAGAATGCAGTGTTGACCTTGCCACTACTCACGCCTCACATTTTCGAAACTTTTTCACAGTAATTTTGCGTGCACTGCTGCACATAGGCCTCCTTCATTTTTGTTCATTGTGCTCTATCTTCAGCACTTTTCATCCAATTTCTTGACATTTTCTTGAGATCGTCAGTCTAACGAGTAGGGGGTTTTTCTCTACTTCTTAGTAGAGTCATAACCTGGTTAAAATTCACGACAGATGGCACGGCTCCATGATGTAGGTACTTTTATCCGCTTGCCAAAATGAAATAAAATTAAGTTTTCATAGTTTTTGCCAACAAATTTTTGGTCTAATGGCCAGTACCCAAATCGACAAAGAGACATATTTGATTTGCGTGGACAATCATGATTAAAACTAATTCGCTTCTCCTAATGACTTTTAATGATCTTTATTTTACAAAGAATGTGTTTACAATGGAAGCTATTCTTCTTCTTCTTTAAGTGTCATCTCCGCGGCGCAGGTCGGCAATCATCATAGCTATTCGGAATTTTGAGACGGCTGCTCTGAAAAGTTCATTTGATGTACGTCCGTAACACTCTCTCAGGTTGCGCAGCCATGACATTCTACGCCTCTCTATGCTTCTCTTTCTTTGGATCTTTCCCTGCATAATCAGTTGGAGCAAGGTGTATTTGTCTCCACGTGTAATATGTGCGACATATTCTAATTTTATTGTTTTAATTGTATTTAAATTTTTTTCTCAGAACCTCTTTGTTTGTGACGTGTTTTGTCCACGATAGTTTCAACTCGAATGATTCCAGATTTTTCATTGATGTTGCATTCAAGGTCCACGATTCCATTCCATAAAATAAAGTCGAAAAAACATAGCAGCTCGCCAACCTAACTCTTAGTTCAAGTTTTAAATCCCTGGTACATAGCACTCTTCTCATTTTGATGACAATGATAACTTTAATTTAGAACTCAACACTCTCAAACAAATTGCTTTAAATAATGGTTATGATCCCAACATTATCCATAAGCTTCTAAATAGAGCTAAACTCAAAATTACAGAAAAGCTTGCATATTCATCACAAAGTCTTCTTCAACCAAATGCTTCTAACAACATCAGATATTTCTCTTTTACTTATATTAGCAACATTTCTAATAAAATAGCTAAACTTTTTACTTCTGCAGTTGAAAACATCAAAATTTCCTTTAAGTCACACAACACTGTACGTTCCTTTTTAATTAACACCAAAGACAGGCTGAACACACTTGACAAAAGTGGTATTTACAAATTAAAGTGTGATGATTGTGATGCCTCTTATGTAGGCAGAACCATTAGAAAGCTATCTACCAGAATATCAGAACATTTAAAAAGACCAAACTCTTCAAGTTTTGGTCAACATTTAGAGTCTAGTAAACACAATTTCAACATCAATACTGATTCGTCTATTTTGCATGACATCAGTAGAAAGAAAAACTATTTGGAGTTGGATCTATTGGAAGATTTGGAGATCACAAAGGAAACGAATGGAAACTCTCATTGTCTTAATACTCAAATTAATTTAAACTGTACTAAATTTAAACCTATTTTTAAAAACTTTATTACAGCTTCACCTCGTAGTGGACCCAGCTCGGCTGTCTGGACTTCCTGCACTGAGTCTATACATTAAGAATCTACCAATTTCAGGCTTTGTTCAGCATTACTATTATATTTAACAATTTACACAACCAGCTTGCTCAAATTCAATTAATCCACAGTTGGAGTTGATTTCACTCTTCATACCTCTGCATAATCTACATATACTAAATCCACAGTTTTATATTTCATTCACCAACACCTGTTGGTCAGTTGGTCTTTAGTAACGCTATTACATATTAGTTTTACAGTTCCCCCATTGGCTTGAGGTTTAACTGAACTACTTGAACTATACCCATTTACACACTGCTTTCAATTCTGATTTAATTTTAATATTTCAATTTCATAGTCAATTTTCTTCTCGTTTTGCTGTATCGACAGTGCCTGGTAGACCATTTTATTGTAGTCAACTACCCACTGTCCAACAGATCGTTTGGTCTATTTCTTTCATTCACACTTTATGTACACTTCATTTAGCCTCAAACCTACAACCTTATTATTACAGACGGGTGTGAGTGTGAGATCTGTATTATGCAATCTAGTTTAAATCAAAATATTCTATATGTCATACTTCATCAGCTGATTTTTTTCAGTAGTAGTTCTAGTTGGACCTTTGGCCGATGACAACTTATACAGAATTTTAATATGTGCTGATCACAGATCCATAACTTTGACTGCCTATCAATGATGTCATATGTCACATGTCACCGTATCATTTCCGCTTAGATCATTATCCCTCCAGATGCAGACAAAGAATGTAGCGTTTTAAATCAACATATTCTATATGTCATACTTCATCAGCTGATTTTTTCAGTAGTAGTTCTAGTTGGACCTTTGGCCGGTGACAACTTATACAGAATTTTAATATGTGCTGATCACAGATCCATAACTTTGACTGCCTATCAATGTTGTCATATGTCACATGTCACCGTATCATTTCCGCTTAGATCATTATCCCTTCAGATACAGACAAAGAATGTAGCGTAGAATCTTTTAAGTAATTTTAAACCGTTTGTCCTCGTTTTAGTGTAGTGATTTGTACAATGTTATGTCATTATTAATGTTTCCACATTCTACGCTTGCCGGATAGTTTATATTTGACAAAGTAAGTCTAAAACGTTAATCTCAGAAACTTTGTTTCATCCATTAACTTCGAGTTTTTTATCGAAGTTAACTAATTTACTTCATCTAAAAAACGTTTTCTTGGCTTATTTCAGATGCCCCTGAAGATGCTATTTTAAGCGAAAGTACTTAGGCTAGATTTAATTAACTTGTGCTCGATAATAGCCTTATTTTTCAAAGTTCTTCTCATTTTGTTGAAATTTGCTCTAGCCTTTTCTATTCTGATTTTGATTTCCTGAATGTAATGATTTGTGGAGTTAATCATTGTTCCCAAATATACATATTTGTCCACTTGATCGACGTTGGTTTCGTTTATGAAAAGATTCTCGTTATTTCTTTGAGTTTTCGATATTCTCATAAATTCCGTCTTCTTTACATTCATTGTTAGACCATATTCTTTTCCATACTTTGCTATTCTGGTCACCAGTCTCTGAAGATCTTCAATGTTTTCGGCTAAGATCACAAAGTCGTCCGCATATCTAATGTTGTTAATGGGAATCCATTTACCCTTATTCCAGCTGTTTCACCCTCAAGAGCGTTTTTTAGGATCTCTTCGGAGTAGGCGTTGAAAAGAATTGGCGACAATATGATCCCTGTCTCACTCCACATCTAATTTCAATTTCTTCTAATTTCAATTTAAAAAAGAAAGCGATAAAGAAAAGCGATTAAAAACTTATAAATATAGATAACCCAACGACAATAACTTTTTGATATATTTTACTTTTTTTATAGTATTTTTCTTTATGATTTTGTTTAGTTCGACAATGTAACTCTTTTATTTATACATCGATGATTGAATTATGCTTAAGTTGAAACAATAATGATAGTCTTTTATACAACCGTAGACAATTGTTGTGTTCGTGTATATTCCAGTGCTATGATTCTTAAATCCTGTACTGATGCGCCGTTCGGGGCAAACCGGCAACGTGGTCGGCCTTTCTTCCATAAGAAATACATTGCCTATCTTACCTGCACTGCATTTTAACTGTGGCTTCTATAGATTGTCTTAAAGTGACTTGTCTGTACGGGGTAAATGCACAACATCGATGCCACACTTCTTTGCACACTTGTAATAAAATAAACGTCACTTCTTACTACTTAGCCTAATCCATCTTTTGTGTTGAGGGTAGCTTAAGTACTAATGCCCACTAACGACCCTGCCTGGCTTCCTTCTGTCAGTGGTTCTCAAACATAAATAATATTTGCTACAACATACTTGGGTTAAATTAAAATAAAATAGAAATTAAGAAAACTATTTGTTTATAGATTTAAATAAAATGAAACTAAAGTATAAAGAAACATTTTATTTATGTATTATTCCGTTCAAAAGTTAAGGGGGGAAGGGCTTTTAACAACCGCACTGTATATGTTGCAGTAACAAAACGTAGAAATATCCGAAAATAAAACTAATAATTAAGTTGAAAATAAAAAATTCATTGTATTTAATTTCGTGTGTAAGTAATCGTAATTGTACACTATTATATTTAGTTTCTTTTTCTGTCAATCGGTGTCACATTTAGTTTCTGCTTAACTATCATCATCATTATTATCGTCACTGTCATCACTATATCCGTTATTTATATTTATAATAATTGGTTCGATATCATCCAACAAATTGTCATTTTCTAACATTCATTTTTTTCCCACATTTCTGCTATTACTTGGTTTACGTAGTTTTTCCATTTCTCTGGCGTAACGACCTGGTACGCTGCTATAATTAAATTTCGCATTTCAACTTCTCTAATATTCGCGTTGCGTCCAGCTATATACCGTTTCACTTCACTTCAAACCATTTCGATGGGATTGAGATCACATTGATAGGGTGGGAGCCTTAGAATTTTCACATTGTGCTTTTTGCCAATATATTCTATTATGTACCTGTCATATTTTGCTTTAAAGCCTTGACTACATCAAGTAACGTATTTTAGGTAGGTTTCTTCAAAAAATAGGTCCTATAGCTACAGAAGCTATTCTTGAATATCTTTTTTTAGTGTTGAACTGTTGGAAATTTTTTCTGACTTTCTGCTGTGATAGGAGGCATTGTCCATTACAATAGTTTTTTCTGTCAAATTTAGCATTAAGTTATTTTCGAACCAATCATCGAAGGTCGGTCTATCCATTTCGTCGTGGTAGTCCCGAATATTTGTCAAAACGTGAGCTCTGCTCCATTAACAAATCCACTGGTAGATCCTGCGTGCAATAAAATGAACCGTGCACGACGATCTGTTGGAGCTTTTAATCCTGTTGTCAGGCCACGAACAAAAGCATCGCGATGAGATGTAATTGTTTTATCAACCCATTATTTTTTCACACTGTGCCCAATATTTACCCATGATTCATCCAAATACACTATGTTGTATCCCTCTGCATGGTATTTACGAATTGCGCATAAATAACAATGATGCTACAAGATGATTTCTGATTTTTCAATCAAAATTGAATTTCTGCCACGTTTTATAAACACAAAATCCATATCATTCAGCAAGCGATGTAGCATGGCCCATGAAAAGTGGGCCAAAGTTTCTTTGACATTTACAACAGCTAATCTTGATAAACTATTCTACGAATTTGGCCCCTGACACCTTTATCGTACTTGTCACGAGAATTACCAACCTTTCGCTTCTTGAGCCTGCTTTTTAGATCACAATAACACAACAGTAACAGTACATCCAAGATGGTACAAATAATTGTAACTCGAATATGTTTACGCGCTCCGAATAACAAATAAAGAATAATTAAGGCCCTGGATGTATCAAGCTTTTAAATATATTCTGTACAAGAATTACTCTAATTGCTTCTTAATAACTGAATAACTTAGAAAAAAGGTAATTGAAAAACTTTGAAACAAATAATGTAAATTATGTAAAATTATGTAAAACCATGTAAAATTATGTAAAATTATGTAAAATTATGTAAAATTATGTAAAATTATGTAAAATTATGTAAAATTATGTAAAATTATGTAAAATTATGTAAAATTATGTAAAATTATGTAAAATTATGTAAAATTATGTAAAATTATGTAAAATAATGTAAAATTATGTAAAATTATGTAAAATTATTAGTAAAAACGATATTTGTAATTTACATAAAATTGTACGTGAGGACTTGTTGAGAACTCCTCGTTTATTCCGTTTATTTTGAAGATAGACAATAGAGAACGCCATCGCTCATAAAACTGGCAACGTCTTGGCGAAATTCCCATAAGGTTAGCATCGCATATCTTCCCTGTACAGACTAGTCACTTTGAGACAAGATATACTACAGAAGTTTTAAATGTGCTTTGTATGCATATAAACATATAGCGCTTAGTTTCATAGGCAGTCTGTATTTTAGAATTTAGAATTTAGTAAGGCACTTGCAAAAATACATAAAAGGGTAAATAAATCGTTCCATTTTAATCCCGTTATAATGCTATTACTGATATTTTTTAGTTTGTAACTGACGGTTTTGGAATATGGGATCCCATAGGACATGTTGACTTTTTCCCCAATGGAGGCCAGGATCAACCAGGATGTAATGATGTAAGAGATTCCATCGTTGTCTCACATTTTGGTAAGTAATCTTAAAGGTTAAGTTTTAAACGAAAACTAAAACTCAACCACAATATTAAATAAATTATCATAGATTATTCATTTAAAAGCAGATTTATATTACTAAATTAATAGTACATTGTTTACCGGGTAGGAAAAGCTTAACATTCCTGGACGACTGTGAAGATTGCTAAGTCGAGGCGCAAGCCGAGACTTAGCAACACAGAGTCCAGGAATGTGGCTTTTCCTACGAGGTAAACATACTATTTTTCCGCAAATCGTTTAAAATTCGACAGATATTGATTGATTTAAAAAAAACGCGATAATTTTATTCCCAAATAAATGGTGCTTTGAAATTCCTAATAAAATTACTTGGGTTACTATGGAAACGTATTGAGGTTGAATTGTCAAATTTTCTATCATTTATGTAGAACACTAACAACTGTACGGAAATATCATTTCCTTACAGTAAGGAAATGACATTTCCTTACAGTAAGGAAGTCCTGGCTATTTCTTCAAGAAATTTTGACAGGAATGTCAAAATTTCCTGGCGATTTGCGGAAAAAAATATTTTTGTGTTGTTTTTCATCCGCATTTGATAAACGGCTGACGAGCTAGTTTAAAATGGATAACTAATATCTGTATATATTTTCGCACACTACATCGTAAAGACAAAAGATGTTTAACCTATACTACACTATTTTAGAATGTGGTAAGACACTACGTTTTTCTTGACATATATGTGACAAAATAAGAGAAAAGGTGAAATATTAATTTTGGAAATGCATAATTGTCCAAAGGGAAACATCTCAAACAATAGTAAGAAATGGTAAAGTTACCATACACCAAAAATCAAATGGCATTGAAAACAAAATGTGTTAGTTAGCAGAAATAATAAACTTAGACTATTAACAACAAAATTTGAATACAAAAACACACCTAAAATAACTTGCAAATATCCACTTGGGAATATATAAAACAAAATAGATCACATATATTACCTTAAAATATATATATAAAAAGACGATGGACACAAGAAAGTGTAGGAGAGCGAACGCAGATGAGGACCACTACCTTGCGATAGCAACAATGAAGAGTTTGACGAGAGCAAGATCTTACAATGGGGGAAAAAGCAAACGACAGTGGAATCTAGAAGCTCTGGATAGATTATTAAAAAATATTTATTCTTCTTCTCTTGCACTCCATTACTAGAGGTTTGTGATCAAAATCTTCTCTATTCTGCGCTACTCTTTGTAACTGATGAACGTTCATACCCATCCAAGCTCTGATATTGCAAAGCCATGTAAATCACGGATACCTTCTACCTTTATTTTAGCATTATCTAGCATCATACCAACAAGATGGTCTGATGACATAAAACGGATCGACAAAAATTGGATGCAAACCCATATCCAGCAGTGGATAGATCCGGGTTAAATGATGATGATGATGATGATCTCGCATTAACCTTTCCTTGTTGTTTAAAATATTCTAAACGTTTGGCATTCCTTTCCTCAGGTAGCTGCAGCTTCTTGCGTGGATGTATTAGTCTGGACGTCGTCTAACATTCTTGCCACAAATCGGTCGCATTGCTCCTGTAGTGATCCTTTTCCTATCTAAAACTACATAAAAAACTATAATTTCGCGTGATAATAGGGACATTACCACATGTATTCATCTATATCATTTTTCAAAGTAAAACACTTGCACGTCACGATTTTTACAAAGTGACGTCACTTGTATTTCCAGAATTTCAGAAATTTCCAGAACATCAACCTTAGATTTCAAATTTTCCTAACACAGCTAATAATACGAAACCCATACGGAACTACTCGATCTTTCATAGGCGTCAGCATGGTGTAATAATCAGAAAAATGTAATCGTCATTATATTGGAAATTTTAAAATTATATTAATTAAATAACCAAAACCATTTGTTATTATTAATAATAAAAATTTTATGAAATAAATCTTTAAGTCTAATATTCCACAAAATAATAATGTTAATTAAATATATTAGACAATTGTACGCAACTGATACGGAAATACTTCAAATCTTATTGACAGTTCAGCGCGTGGCAAAAGTGTATTAAGTGTTGCCGCTTTTAGAGTAAGAATTTTGTTTGTGTCTCGATTTCTTACAAAATTTGGTCATAATATAATATATTAATAAATTGTATTTATAAATACATATTAAATTTAGATTAATAGCTTTAAAAACTAATTATTGTTGTGTATTGTAATTGTGATATGCCAAAACAAATAAATAGTCTAGAAAGCTGATAAGCTTTCACATAAAATAGATTATTTTGAACAAGAAATAATGGCGGGACATTTTTACTATTAAAGCCCTAAAAGGCGACTAGCGTCTAGCCGTTGGCAGGTCAGGATAATCCTGACCAATCCAATCGCACTTGAGTATGTGTGTGGCGCGTCATTTAAATTATGTACATATTATGAATGTAACAGTTCTCATTTCTCATATCACGAAACGTTCTCGGATTGTTCACTCAAACAAGAAGTAATGTTTAGTTGTTTTAAATACACAGTTTTATTATTTTACATATTATAAATACTATCTTATTGTGAGTTGGCAACAAGTGAGGGAGGGCTTGTCTGCTTGTCACTTATTATTATTATAGATCATAGTTGTTGTTATTTGTTATGTTGTATAATAAAATTAATTACCACAATCAAATATCAGCAATAAACTGACGTTCAGATAGACTTGGAAATAACTGTCTAATATCAGTTTGATGTCCAATGTGTGTTTTTATAAAATTGACTTCAACTTTTTCTGCCAAAGCAACCACAACCGTGAGACTGCTGGGCAAAATCCACCAATTTTTATACTGCCTTTCATTTTTAAGTGCCTTTTTCCTTTACTTTCAAAATTAAAGCAGCCTGACCGATGACAGAGAAACTTCATTGTTTTGTGAGTCTTTGCGGAAAAGTTCTCGACTTTAACGTATTTGGTTTTTGTACTACTTTCAATAAAACATTTCCACTCCTGAAAAGAGACTAAATTGGAAAATTGAAGTGTTTAACTTTCTAGGATTAGGTTGTGTTCTTCTTGAAAATGAGAATGCAACTCTGCAACATAACTTGAATAAAAATTATACAAAGGTCACTTCTTAGAATCTTTCTTGATTTTGCTATCTTCCGTTGAAGTGTCTACATTTTTATGAGTTTCTGTGTATTCAAAACCATTAAACATAACTCCTTATTTGTGTGAACAATCTGAGAACGTTTCGTGATATGAGAAATGAGGACTGTTACATTCAAACCTGTACATAATTTGAATGACGCGCTACACACAAAATCAAGTGCGATTGGATTGGTCAGGATTATACTGACCTGCCAACGGTTAGACGCTAGTTAAAAGGCGTAAGTTTATAATTTAGAATATATAATTTTGAATTAAAATGTTTTCCTACGTATTTTAATGAGTTGCAGTAGTCTTAAAACTAAGTGTATTTACTGTTAATATAATAATTTGACACATAGTTGACATTTTTAAAATTCCTCACCTATTAACTATTTTGATGTTTTGGCAACGCTGTGGGGTTCTGACTACGTAAATTTTAAATGACGTGCAAGCTTTTTTATATGAAAAATGCTATATAACATAACGTTAAGTTTCACATAACAATTATTGCAAAATTAAAATTTTTTATCCCAGAAAGCTTTTATTTACAATGTGCCTAAACTATAAATTCTGAAAGCATCAGAAGAATTGAAGAAATTGTATTATATTTAAAAAAAAATAGATGTTTTATAAAAAAAATCATGACGTATTAAAAAAAACAAAAAGTCCTCCCCGGCGGGGAATCGAACCCCGGTCTCCCGCGTGACAGGCGGGGATACTTACCACTATACTACCGAGGACTATATACGTGTTTTTATAATATTAATATTTACACCGCAACCAAATTTATAGACTTTAAAAATTGTAATACGAAAATTGTTCTAGAATTACGTGTAAAATATATTATACACTAAAGTTTAAAACTAAAAACAATGGGATTATAATTTAGGTGAATTAATAAAAAGCTTATTTCGTATTTAATCAAACGATGTGGGTAATTTTAACACAGGTGATCTTGGTCCTATAATAGAATTTAGTGTCTTATAGTCTACAAAAAGTTCTCCACGGCGGGGAATCGAACCCCGGTCTCCCGCGTGACAGGCGGGGATACTGACCACTATACTACCGAGGAATATATCACACCTTTCCGGACCATAAAGGTCAGAGGTGGTTTGAGCTATTTTGTGAATAATATAACAATAGTTAATAAGTGTGAAATTATAATAATTATTGATATAAAAGTCCGAAATCTATATAAGAAAGTTCTACAGAAATTTGATATTTTACTTATAATTCATAATAGTCTATGACCCCACTGCAGAATGATTACGTTCATAACGTAGTTAATTAATAAACTCACATTTGTAGGTACCTACATTTAAAATTAGGAGAATACATAGATAATAAGTTGCCAGTCGAAAAAGTGGCCGCACATATTTTTAATTTAATTAATAGTTATTAATTTTTGACAAATATTTTATATCGTTCATTATATATTTTTTATATAAAATACGCTGCTCAATACGTACCTATATGCATGTTTTTTTGTATAAAATTAAAGCGATTTTTTTCTTAATATGAGCCAGCTGTTAAAAACGCGAGTTATCAAAGATAAAGTAAAATAAAGCGCACAACGATACCGGTTAAATCGTATGTTTTTATTATTATATATCTATCGACGCGACTTAAGGCGACTACAGACACAACCGCAAGCTTGTCCAGCAGGCTTATTTAATCTTGTTGTACAAGTATGCACAATTTGCCTTTGGCACCACACGTACAGTACAAGCATACTTGATAAAAATAGAGGTAATTTAATAAAATATGTTGAGCTCGGACGACGATACGCTCGCTTTGGCCGCTTTTGTTTTTGTGAAAAAAAGAAAATCCTGTATATAAAAACCTGCGGTATTGAGTAAACAATAGTTGATGAAA